TTTTTTTTTTTGGCTTCTTCTACTAATATTGCTACTTCCACAATTGCTTGTAAGCAGGTGGGCCATCCCCTGCTGACAGGGTCCAGGAGTTTGGACAGATATCCAACTGGTTTTTTTGTTTTTGTTTTTTTTTTTTTTTGCCCCTGCCCAGTCCTGGGTCAGAACTCTGTGGGCAGTGTGGTTGTTTACATCTACAAAGAGCTGAAAGGGCCTTTTAGGTCAGGGAGACTCAATACTGGAGCTGCCATGAGGGTTTCTTTCAATCTTCTGTAGCTCTCTTCATCTTTATCGGTCCACTTAAGTCTGTCTGTGGTAAGTTTGTAATATAAAAACCTTACCTTTTCACTGTACTCTTTAATTCACTGTCTGCAAAAGCCCAAAAGTCCCAGCAATTGCCTGACTTCTCTTTTTGTCTGGGGAGGGGGCAATGCAATTATCCCTGCCACCCGGTCTGGGTCTAGTTTCTTTTTTCCCTTTGTCAGCCAATGTCCCAAGTATTTCACTTCAGGTTCAGTGAATTGTAATTTAGACTTTGAAACTTTCAACCCTCGTCCTCCCAGGAAGTTTAACAGAGCTATAGTTCCAGTCCTTACTTCGTCCTCTTTAGAGCCGGCTACTAGTAAGTCGTCTACATATTGCAATAGTTTGGTTCCCTGGACTGGCACAAACTCGCTAAACACCTTTTCCAGGGCTTGACCAAAGAGATTTGGTGAGTCTACAAACCCTTGAGGAAAAGAAGTTCATCTTAGTTGTTGCTTTCTATGTGTGTCTGGGTCCTCCCATTGGAAGGCAAAATAATCACGGCTTCCCTCAGCTAGAGGACAAGTCCAGAAGGCATCTTTTCTTAGGTCTTGTACCAGCCGATAATTACCATCTGATTTTTGGACTGCCAATATAGGTGTATTATGTCTTGACATGCAGGGCTCCAAAGTGCCTCTTTTTATTAAATCTTCAATTATTGGTTTCAATCCCTTCCTTCCCTCTAGGGGTATGGGATACTGTTTTACCCTTATGGGGTCGTCTGGTCTCTCAATTTCAAGGTGAGTTGGTTCCATGTCTAATTTTCTAGCTTCCCCCGGAGTGTGCCAAACCCTGGGATCAATTTTCTTTTCATCCTCAGTAGTTAGGTTGTATAAACTTACCATGAGTTGTGAGTCTTTTGCAATTATACTTATTCCTAACATCACCATTAAATCCCTTCCCAATAAATTGTATTCTGTTTCTTCTACTAATAAAACATCCTCAGCACAGATTTTATTATCTGATTCTATTTCTACATTCCTTAGGACGGGGACTTGAAAGGGCTTCCCTTTAGCCCCAATCACAGTCATGAAATCCTTACCTTTGATACATCCAGGAGGCAGTCTTTGAACTGTGGTTTTTTCTGCTCCAGAATCAACTAAAAAGACTAGTTCCTGTCTTTGGGGTCCAACTTTTAATTTTATCAAGGGCTCTCTTGATGTCCGTGACCCCAGATTATAAAGCTCCTGACACCTCTATTCTTCTTGAAAGACCTTTTCATCCTTTATTCGTTTCTTACAGTCCCTCTTGAGGTGTCCTTTCTTTTTATAGTAAAAACATTCAGGGGCACTTACCTGTTTGTTTTTCTTTTGGGTGTGTGCCGGCTTTCCCGGGGGCCCCCGGGCTGGAGCTGATGACTCAGCCGCCGTTTGTGCTTCCCTTACTGCCGCCACCAACACCCTGGCTTGCGTTTTTTGTTTCTCTTCATCCCTTCTCATATACACCTTTTGTGCTTCCCTCAATAGTTCCTGTAAGCTCTTCTCTTGCCAATTATCTATTTTTTCTAACTTCCTTCGAATGTCTTCCCATGATTTAGCGACGAATTGTGTTTTTAAAAGGACCGTTCCCACAGGAGAGTCAGGGTCAGTGCCAGAATACATTTGAAGACTTTTCCTAAGCCTCTCCAGTCAGTCCGTAGGAGTCTCATCCTTCCCCTGGCATTCTCCCAATGCCTTACTAATATTTTGTCCCCTTGGAACCGCTCCTCGAATACCTTGTATTACCATATTCTTTAGTCTGATCATTTCTTCCCGGTCTGCTTCCACCTGAGCATTCCATGATGGTCTTTGTTCTGGCCACTTTTCTGCCCCGCTCCCACCCTGGGGGTTTCTGAATTCCCAGTCCTTGATGGCAGCCTGCCTTATCATATCTCGCTCTTCAGCATTAAACAAGGATCTTAATATAGCCGAGATATCATCATATGAATATATACTGTTTCCCAAAAATTCGTCCAACCTTTCTGCCACTCCCAATGGATCATCCATCAATTTTCCCATTTCCTTTTTGAAAGCCCTTACATCTCCCGTGTTAATGGGAATATTTACAAACCCAATTATTCCGGGAGCCGTGGGGACTTCCCTTAAGGGGTATAGATTCGGTCTGTCCCTTTCATCATCGCTATCTCCCGTGTATTCTTTCCTTGTTTTTTGCCGAGTTCTACTGGCAGGAGGGGACGTGCTTTCCCCGGTGTGGCATGCGCATGTGTGTGTTTCCCCGGGCTGTGTGGAGAGGGGGGGTGGGGGTTGGGACGGTCCCGGAGCGCCTGCATCAGAGACTTGTGTATTAGGTGGTAGTGCAGACTGAGCCGAGGGCGCTGATGGTGGAACTGCCGGGGCCAGTGCTTGAGTTGGGGGAACCTGGTATGGGGGGGGCAGGTTCTCTAGGGGTTCCCAAGTTTTTTTCGAGCTCACCTGGCTGCCAGAGGTTTTAATAGGGAACAGCCGCGCGCTGGCATATTCCCATAGCCTGGCATAGTCCAATTCCTCATTGTCCCATTCCTCTTTCTCATACAAGTGATCCAAAAGTGCTTGGCAGAGCTTAATTTCGAAGGTACCAAAGGCGGGCCAGTATTGGAATTTTCCAATTTCCATATTTCCCCATACTTCTACACAATAGTGTATCATTTTTTCTTTGGACCTTTTCCGTCTAACAGAACAGTCCTCCCAGTGTTCTAACATCCAGCCCAGGGGACTTTCTCTCGGAATCTCAGGGAATTTGTCCTTTTTCCCCTCCCTTATTTTTGAATGCTTACCTTTTCTTGTTTCTAGGAGTTCACTCCTTCCCGGCTTAGGGTTTTCCCTTCGTGGTCCTCCCCGCACTTTGCTGGTTTTCTGTCCCATATTAAAAAATTCCTTACCGTATTCCAAGTCAGTGTCCACAAGTTGTTCCGAGAAGTCAGTTACCCGCATGCTAAAATGTGTATTTCAGTCCAATCCCGAACCGAGTTTACCAAGTGTTTAAACCGGTCTTTTTCTGACCGAACCTTGTCAACTTAAATAACCACACAGCGAACCGATCTGTGGGTTTTTCGGCTGGAAAATGAGTGAGCTCTCTTTTACCTGTTTTCCTGGGCTCCCCGAGCCCAGAGCCGGTGAGGTTTACCAATTTCTCGAGTCTACAAGAACGTACCTTCCCTCCCCCGACCCGTCCGTGAGTGGATCCCTGTAAACTCCCAGAGTTTCAGGTCGTATGCGTGTTGTGAGTTAAACCCGAGTCCTTTCGCTTCCCCCTTAGCCGACCACGTCCCTCGCGGGCTAGTGGAACTGCGGTTTATTGGAGTCCGCACTCGCGCCGTGGCTATGCCACGTCTCACTCAAACACACACCCACCCACGCGCCACCCAACCACGCAGTACTCACGGCTCCTTTTCCCGCGTGGATTCTTCGTGCACGTTGATTTTACGAGTGAAAAATTGCTGCAGCCTCGGAGATTTAGCTCCGAATTCCGAGAGCTCTGGGCCCGTTTATATCCTTTCCTTAATGTGGCTTTTTGCTGCTTTTGGAATCTGGTTGGTTCCGTGGGGTTCTGCAGTCCTGTCCGGCTGCTAAAATCAGCAGGGCGCCGCCCGGATCTAGGAGAGGGAACTCCCAGGATACCCCCAAACCAGACCACGTCGGGGTCACCAAGTTTGTTATAAATGAAAGTTTATTCAGCCAAATTAAAAAAAAAAACAGTTTTATTTGCGGTCAAATTCTATCTAGCCAACCACAGGAAAAAAAATAAGGAAAGGAGAAGGGAAAAAAAACAGTGCCGAGCCCGGGGTCAGCCCTGGGTGTGCGACAAGAAGTCAGCCTCAGGAGAGGTTTTCCTCTATGCCCACACACCTCCATCCTGGCACAAGCAAGTTTTATAGGGATAATTCCGCCTGAGGCCAAGATTTTTGTAATCAGTCCTTTCTTCTATTCAGAGTCCATGTGTTAATAATTCAGTGTCTGGAGTTTGTTGAATCCACATGGATCTGTCTGGGGATTCCAGAGATATCCATCTCGGGTCGTTCACGCGATGATCAGCGCCATGGCCCATCGTCTGGCGTCTGGCTAGCTGTATCTTCTCACTTGTAAATGAGCTTCTTAACATACACCTGGCCTCGGAGGGGAGGGGAAGGGGGGGGACCGGGGGGGGGGGGGAGGCTAGTACAAACAAGTATTTAACATTATATATTTCATATAAGGAAAGGCGCAAATTATGTCTATTACCCATAACAAAGTCCAAGTGCCGGGTCCTGCACTTTGGCCACAACAACCCCTGCAGCGCTACAGGCTGGGGACAGAGTGGCTGGACAGCAGCCAGGCAGAAAGGGACCTGCAGGGACTGATGGACAGCAGGCTGGACATGAGCCAGCCGTGTGCCCAGGTGGCCAAGAAGGCCAATGGCTCCTGGCCTGGATCAGGAATGGTGTGGCCAGCAGGAGCAGAGCTGCTGTGCCAGCACTGATCTGCCCCCAGCTCTGCACACAGACATTGCTGCTGCAGCTCCAGAGAAGGCAACAAAAGGGCATCTCTGCAGAAAACTCTGCTGGGAGATCCTTTAGCTCCTTTAAAGCCAACAAGAGTGAAGCCCCTCATTGACACAGTCTGTAGCAACAGGGAAGGTGGACACAAACAAAATGAGAAATGGCACCAAAAATGACATTTATTGTGGAAAACAAGAAAAAAGAACAACAAAGGGAAAAAAATCCCCACAATTAAACCAAAAAGAAGTACCTAAGACAACTTTTATTACAAGTGATTTGCAGAAATTTGCCAGTAGTTCAATGTCCCTGAAAGCACCCAGTCATCAGTCTCCACACTGCAGCCTTGAGCTCCTGGTTCCTCAGGCTGTAGATGAGGGGGTTCAGGGCTGGAGGCACCACCGAGTACAGAACTGACAGGGCCAGATCCAGGGATGGGGAGAACATGGAGGGAGGCTTCAGATAGTAAAATATAGCAGTACTGATGAACAGAGAGACCACGGCCAGGTGAGGGAGGCAGGTGGAAAAGGCTTTGTGCCGTCCCTGCTCAGAGGGGATCCTCAGCACAGCCCTGAAGATCTGCACATAGGAGAAAATAATGAACACAAAACATCCTAATACCAAACAGGCACTAACAGCAATGAGCCCAAGTTCCTTGAGATAGGATTTGGAGCAGGAGAGTTTGAGGATCTGTGGGATTTCACAGAAGAACTGTCCCAGGGCATTGCCATGGCACAGGGGCAGGGAAAATGTACTGGCTGTGTGGAGCAGAGCATTGAGAAAGGCACTGGCCCAGGCAGCTGCTGCCATGTGGGCACAAGCTCTGCTGCCCAGGAGGGTCCCGTAGTGCAGGGGTTTGCAGATGGACACGTAGCGGTCATAGCTCATGATGGTCAGGATGGAAATCTCTGCTCCAATGAAGAACATAAAGAAAAAGAGCTGAGCAGCACATCCTGTGTAGGAGATGTTCCTGGTGTCCCAGAGGGAATTGTGCATGGCTTTGGGGACAGTGGTGCAGATGGAGCCCAGGTCGCTGAGGGCCAGGTTGAGCAGGAAGAAGAACATGGGCGTGTGCAGGTGGTGGCCGCAGGCTACGGCGCTGATGATGAGGCCGTTGCCCAGGAGGGCAGCCAGGGAGATGCCCAGGAAGAGGCAGAAGTGCAGGAGCTGCAGCTGCCGCGTGTCTGCCAGTGCCAGCAGGAGGAAGTGGCTGATGGAGCTGCTGTTGGACATTTCATGTGGCTGCGCATGGGCACCTGGTCATGGAGAAAGGACAGTGAAGAGATAGAGGAGATACCTGTAACGAAAATCAAAGACATTTCCCATAAACCCTCCTCTGTGACACACGTGGACATTGTCTTTAGGGTTTTTGGTGTTTGGGGTCTTCTCTATAAGCTCCCCCTTATCTCTGATGGTGTTCCTGGATATCAGAAATGCTCAGCATTTCTGCTGCCCTGTGGTAGAACAGAGTGGGTTGTCTGATGCAAAATTATGAGCAGAGATTGGGGGAGAAGGTCTGTTACCTCATTCTGTTTGGAGTTTCTCTGGGCTTTCACTTATCTCAAGTGGAGGATGTTCACACTCCCAAGTTCTCTGTTAAGCTCACCAGGTACTGCTGTGAGCAGATGGATCCACCACAGCTCAGCTCCACATTTGAAGCCAAGGACTCACATTGCTCATTTCACCAACCCAGCAGCATTTTCAGTGTCAGAACACCTCTGCCTTTCCCCATCAATCTTATAACTCAGAGATGCTCTAGGACAGGTTTGCGCCCTAGACTGGAGCTCCCAGCTTAGACTGAAATCTCAGGGAGGCTTCCAAGTGTCCTTCTGATGGCACTGGATGAAGGGACACACAGCTCCTTCCCTGGCTGCACTGCCAGCATTGCCCAGAGCCGGGCACTGGGGACAGCTGTGTCACCCTGAGCCAGCTGTGCCCCCTGCCAGAGCCCCCAGTGCCGGGCAGCTGCTCCCAGCCCTGTGCTCTGCAGAGGGAACTGGGCCCGGGGCTGCAGAGCTGCCCCACGGCTCTGCTGCAGCTCTGCCTGCACAGGAGGGGCTGCACGCCTTGGAGCCCCGGCCCTGAGGGCAGAGGCTTGGCTGGGGGACAGGAGGGAGGGGGCTTGTGCAGAGGGAGGGGCTGCACTGGAGGGGATCCTCTGGGCATCTCTAAACTCTCCCTGCCTCAGCATTTCTGGGTTTTGTTTTCTCTCCTTCCCTGATCTTCTCTCTGCTTCCTGGAGATTTTCCTCCTGCAAGTGTTTCTCTGTGCCTGATCTCTCTGTGCCAGCACTCCCAGACCCCAAATCTCTGTGCACTCTCCTTGGCCTGACAGAACCCTGCCTGTTTGCAGGGCACTGGCTGGGGCAGGTTCTGTTTGCAGCTTGGAGCAAGGACAGCTCAGACTGAGCCTGATGGCTCCAGCAGAGGTGCTGCTGCTGCTGTCCATGGGCAGAGTGGCTGAAAGCACATTAGGGATCTCCTGTGAACCTATTGATCACTAAAATAACAATTCAGATATCTCAGGTGCTTGTCAAAATTCAAAACACCTTTAATATTTGTCCCCCCATCCCTGCCACTCTCCAATAGTAGGAAACTGAATACAAAGTCTTAGGAAATTTCCTCATTTTTATCAAAATCCTTGTCTTGGAAATATTCTATGACTGATAAGAACCCCTCACCATGTCAGAGCTTCATGAGCATTTCACCTGCCCTGCACCAGAAATACTCAGAATTGTACTCACAGGGTCTGTGGGCATTGGGATGTTCCAGCTTTAGGAGATCTCTCCAGGAGCTGCAGCTGCATTGTCCTGCAGCCAGAGGTTCCTGTGCCAAGGGCTGGCAGTGATTCTGCCCCAGGCACTTCTCAGCCCCTTCCCAGCCCTGACTGATTGAAGCTCTCTGTGCCTCTGTGCTGTGCCCGGGCTGGCTGCAGGCAGTGCCCCAGCCCTGCTGGGCTGGGAGAAGAGCTGCTCAGCAAGAGAAATGTGCTTTTGAAGCTCTGCTTGGTTACCAGGATCACCCTCTGTGCCAGGAGCCCGGCCCAGCTCAGCAGCACAGACACAGCACAAGGACTTTAATGACCCTCTGGGGCTTTGTGCTCAGGCCCTGAACATCAGGCCCTGAGAGGGAGCTGCAGAAACCTCTCCAGAACTCCAAGTCAGAATCCAGCTCCAAAGTTTCTTGGACTTTTAATGGGTCCCACTGAGGGACACGACTGAGAAAGTGTCCCCAGGCCCCAGGCAGAGCAGAGAACTGGAGGCGCTGATGACAGGTGGGGACAAAGAGAAGCCAAGTCTTGGTGCCCTGGGGCACAGCAGGGTCTGTGCCACCAAGGGCTGGGAGGAGACACCTTGTCCTGAGGCCCTGGGGCCTCCTGGCACAGCCCCAGCCAGGCTGGGCACTGTCAGCCCCTGGTCCTGCCCTCAGCATCCCCCCCTAGCCCACATCCCAGTGGCCTCAAGGATCTGCTGGAAGGAGTCCCTGGGGAGCCTTGGTCAGGAATGGCCCTGGGGGCTCCTTCATGCTCCCAGGGACTGCAGGTTTTTCAAAGGACTTTGGCTTTTGCTTTTGCCTTGCAGTCTCTGAGAGCTTTGTGCAATCCTGACCTCCAATTATCTGCTGTAATGAGTCCCTGGAGAGGCTTTGTCAGGAACAACACTCAGTGGGGCTCATTAATGCTTCAAGGTACTTTAGTTCTTTTAAGGTACTTGGTGTTTCCCTTTTGATCCAGACTCTGTGAGAGGTTTGTGCAATCATGGCCCCAATTATCTGCTTTAATGAGTCCCTTGAGAGCTTTGTACTGACACTCAGTGGGGCTCACTAATGCTTTGAGATCCTCAAGGTTCTTAAAGTACTTTGGATTGTCCATTCCACACTGAGTTTCTGAGAGGTTTTTGTGCCATCCTGGCCTCCATTTCTCTCCTCCAAGGATTCCATGAGGAGCCTGTGTTGGAGATGGACCACAGTGGGTCCCATTAATGGCTGGAGATACTTTGGGTGTTTCCTCTGACTTTGACTCCTGGAAAGGTTTGTGCAATCTCCTCTCAGGCCCTGAGGTTCCAGGGCTCAGTTCCAAATGCACCACGGGGCTTATTAAGATCAAGCAAGTCCTGACAAACCATGGCTCTGCCTTGATTTCCCTCTTGTCTAGTGCAGTTCATCAGGAAGTTTCTGTAGTGGTTTTGGTTCACCTATTGGAGATTTCTCAGCCAATGCATCAATTAGTGTGGTGGGTTCAGTGTTGGCTAATTACCAGTGCACTCACTAGAATATACATACTCATTTCCTGCTGTGAGGAAGGATTAGGAGAAAGGCAAAGTAGGCTCAAAATTTTAAAAGGGTATAATGAAAAGTTTACTAACAGTAACTAAAAGAAAGAGTAATATGGATCAGAACAAAACTTTCAGAACCTTCCTTTTTCCATACAACCTGACTATGTAAAGAAACAAAAACTACAATTTTCAATCAGTTTAACACCTCTAGAATAGTCTTTCTTCACTTCAGTTATAGAGAGAAGTTCCCCTTGTTAATGTTATTGAGACTTCTCCAGAAGAAAAAAGTTATCTCATGGCTTTTCATTTCCACAAATAGCAGCCACTCGGAAAGTTCTGTAATTGTGAAGTCCCTCCCATTTTTTTCACAGCCTTTCCCACAGCTGTGTTTATGGGCCATGTCAGTTTATGGGGTATTAGTTTCAAGATGAGTTAAGAGCAAAGGTTCTCTTCATCTATTTCTGAAATCATCTTCATCTCTGGGAACAGAGGTCTTCTTCTCTCCCTGAGGGCACAGGGTGTCATCACTTTGCTCTGTTTCTCTGTTCAAACGTCTCATGGGATCACAGTTACTTCAACATTTCCTCACTTAAGCATGGAGGCCTTTGCTGAACAACGCATCTCCCCATACTTTTCAATGCCTTATAGGGCAAAAGAGAGACTGATGTATCAATGACATCCTTCTCCATAGCTTTAGCAGAGGATTTCAGCCCCAAGATCAAGGCATCTCCTCATCCCTCCCACCTGGAACTCAACTTCCTCTTCACTGACCTCGGTGTCTTCATGTTGCTCCTCTGTGTGCCTGCCCTGTGTCCTTTTCTCTCACTGGAGGGAGGATGGCAGCACTGCCAGAGTCAATATCTCCCCTGGGGCCTGCAGACGGTTACACAACCCTGGCCAGGCTTGGTGGCCAATTCTAATTTTGGCCATGGTTCCTGGACATGAAGACCAGTTCTTTTCCATAGGAATGAAGGAACAGAGCACCACTGTTTTAGGGGCAGATGAGAGGTGACCACCAGATGCAAAGGCCAGCCAGAGCTGACAGATTTTGTTTGAAGAGATACCCTCAGAAATAGGAAATTTTTTAGGGAGGGTACCAATTTTGGCAATGGACATCTGAAATAACAGATGGTTTTTTTCCCTACAGAGGAGTGTTCCAGAAGCTGATGAGAGGCAGCCCTTGACATCCAAAAATCAGCCAGACCTGCCAGGTGGCCCCTGGCAGGCCAAGCCACCCAGACTTGTTCCATGTTCCCTCAGTTCCATGGGGCCCCACAGTGTCCCAATGGTCCCTTGCTTCCAGGAGGCCCTGAGGTGTCACAATGCCCCCTTGGTGACACCAGGCCCTGAAGGGTCGAAATGGTCTCCATGGTTCCATCAGGCCCCACAGAGTCATAATGGTCTCTGGGTCCATGAAGCCCCGCGGTGTCACCATGGCCCCTTGGTTCCATGGGCTCCAGTGGTGCCACAATGATCCCCTTGGTTCCATGAGGTGCCCACAGTGTCACAGTGATCTCCATGGGAAGGAAAGAACCGAGCCCCAGTGTGGCAGGGGCAGCCACCAGAGGCCAAGGCCAGCCAGACTTGATGGTACTGGCAGATTTTGCCTGGGAGCAACCCTTGGATATAGGGAATTTTAGAGGTGGAATCCCACTTTCAGACATGGACACCCGGAGTTGAATGATGTTTTTTTTTCCAAAGGAAGGAAAGCACAGAACACCAGTGTTTGAGGGGCAGATGAAAGGCTGCCGTCAGAGGTCTAGGCCAGCCAGACCTCTTTGCCCTGGTAGCTTTTGTCTGAAAGCAACCCTTGGATATAGGGAATTTGGGAGGTGGAACCCCAATTTTGGCCATTTCTGTGTAGATAAGAAGGAGAGTTCTTTTCCATAGGAAGGAAAGCACAGAGACCATGTGTTTCAAAGGCAGAAGAAGAAAGAGGTGGCTCCTGGAAGGCTCAGCCAACCAGACCTGTTCTTCCTGGCATGTTTTGTAATGGAGGAATTTTTGGATACATGGAATTTGGGAGGAGGAATCTCAATTTTGACCACGGTCACCTCGAGAAGGACAACTATTTACATTGGAAGGAAAGCACCAAGCCCCAGTGTTTCAAAAGCAGATGAGATGCATCTCTCAAGAGGCCAAGGGCAGCCAGACCTGTCTGTCCTGGCAGCTTTCACTTGGGAGCATTCCTTGGATGTACGGAGTTTTGGAGGAGGAATCCCAATTTTGGCCATG